CACGTAAGTTGTGTATATTTACATGACACTTGTATAATTGTGTAATCGTGTATATTAACATGTAAATCGTGTATATTTACATATAAATCATGTATGTTAAGTTATAAGAAATGACAATGTATATTAATCCTCAAAACATGTTTTTTTTATAGCAATTAGTGAACACATAGCATGAAAATATGTATATTAACTGATTTATTGTATTTCATGTTAAATATACATGATTTTACATGTAAATATACATGATTTACGTATAAATATACACAATTTATATACGATTATACAAGTGCCTGACTGGTCAGACACTTTTCAAGTGCCTGACCAGAGACAATTCCTATATATATAAATATAGGAATGGTCTTTAGTCCGGCAGCAACTATTTACCTGACTTATCCGGTAAGTGATTTTCAATCGTTCGATGGAAATTGACGGGTGGGATTCATCACATCCTTGCATAAGCATTCACAGGTGCTAGCTTCCATACAAGTGGCAACTTTTATTGGCCATGTGTTGAACGAAGAGAAAAGGGAGAAGGAAGAGTAAGGTTGGTGGCCACGTGTATATGTGAGAGACAATGGATGATGTGAGAGACAAGGGAGATGGCTGCACGTAGTGCTGGAACTTCGGGTCGGCGGGCCGCCCGAAGCCCGAATTTTTTCGGGCTCGGGCGGGCCGGCCCAATTTCCGCCCGTCCAAGCAAAAAATTCGGGTTCGGGCTCGGGCAGCCCGGATTTGACATGTCCACCCTTGCCCGCCGCCGGAGGAAAGAGCTTAGTAAAAATAGCAGTTTTTACAGTTTTACAGTAGGCAAAAAATTGTAAGGATTGTGTATGTAAAATTTCATTATTTTTTTATGTCGTTTTTATTTTATTTTATTTTTTAAAGATGAAAAATAAAAAAATCATAAAAAATAGAATATTCATCAAAACATAGTGCCACTTATTGCATTAATTGCTAAAAATCATATATTAATTTTAGAATGTAAAAAATAAATAAAACTGTACATTTTTTTACCCATCTCGGCCCCTGAGCTGGCCCCTGGGCGCCCCACTACGCGAGCCGGCGGCTTTTTGACAGGTTTTACTTTTTTTGTCAACTTTTGAGGTAATTTTTTTTTTGGCATGCCTAGAAAAATGTAAGGATTGTATCTGTAAAATTTCATTATTTTTTGACGTGTTTTTATTTTATTTTATTTTTTAAAGACGAAAAATAAAGAAAATCATAAAAATATAATATTCATAAAAAAAATAGTGCCGCTTGTTGCATTAATTCCTAAAAATCATATATTAATTTAAAAAAAAAACATAAATAAAAATGTAAATTTTGGTATTTTATATTATATCGAAATATGCTCTTAAGATTTTGTATTTTTAATAATATTAAAACAGTATTTTAATCTTTTTAAAAATATCTTTTTGATACCTTAAAACTAATTTTTGGGACATATAATGTCTAAATTACTTTTCTTATTAGTTAAATAAAAATCAATATCTATTATATATAATAAATGTGATGAAGCAAGCACGTGTCAACTAATTTTTATCTCTTTATAGTACCCTTAACTATTTATATTTTTTACTTATTTGTTATCTATTATTTTCTCTTACTTCTGGCTTAAAAAAACGGTTTAATTTGTGTTTCTCTTTATGTCATTCATCTTTTGTACTTTTTACTTACATATTATCTACTATTTCTCGTACTTAACGCTTAAGAAAAACCCGGTTTAATTTGTGTTTCCATTTATGTCCTTCACCTTTCGTAATTTTTACTTATTTGTTATCTACTATTTTCTCTTACTTAAGGCTTAAGAAAAAAAATGGTTTAGTTTGTGTTTCCATTTATGTTATTTACCTTTTGTACTTTTTATTTACGTGTTATGTACTAGTTTTGTGTTTCTATTTATGCCCTTATCAATTTTTGTATTTTTAATCTACTTGTTATCTATTGTTTTATCT